ATTTCAACAAGAAAAATTGTGACTTTAGCGTGGAGAAACCCATCAGCTACCACTTGAACCAACTGTCCCAGGTTTATCAACAGTAACGAGAGACATGGGTATCAGGTACTCCAGATTTGATGCATTAAAAATAGCATGCTGTCATTCTGTGGTGTTTTTACCAAAAAAAAATACATAACCTCAATCCTGGGTCTCTTAACCTTGGTAACTTTGGGCCAGATAATTATTTGTTGTGAGGGCTGCCCTTTGCACTATAAGACATTTTATAGAATCCCTGGCCTCTACTCCTGATACCAGTACTACCACCACCATCACTACCGTAGCCTTGTGGCAACCAGAAATATCTCCAGACATTCCTATTTCCCCTGGGCAGAAAAGTCTCCCCCTGCTTAAGAACTTTTGCCTCAATCTAATCATGACAAAATATTGAACACTTCCAAACTGAGAGACATTTTACAAAATAAAAGACCAAATGTAAGTTCTTCATAAGTACCAAGGTCTTGAAAGATAAGAGTGAAGAGCTATGACAGATTAGAAGAGACTGAGGAGGCATGGTGACCAAATGCAATGTGGAATATTTGACTGGATTCCTGAACAGAAAAAGGCCTTAGTGGAAAATCTGTTGGAATTGAGATAAAGTTGTAGTTTAGTTGATACCATTGTGCCAATGTTGACTTCCTGGTTCAGACAATTGTACTATAGGATGTGAGACGTGAATATGGAAAAAAAAATACATGTAAAATGGGTATAGAGGAACTGTGTAAACTTTTTAAAAACAACTTTTATGTGAATCTACTATTATTTCAAAATAAAAATCTTTTAAGAGAACAAAACCTGCTACTGATAACAATGAAATTTTGCCTGCAATTTATTAATGAGGTTTGTAACAAAGATACCAACATACCTATGATCTGATTTTGCTGGGATGAATCCCAGCATCTTTGAGACATTGATAACCAGAACAAACTTGAAGTTTATTCTGTGTTCATTATGTGTGTGTTCTGCACCACACAACTTATATTTGCTATATAAGTTTTGTTATAAATGAAATAATTTGCAAAATGTTCAATTGATGGTTTAAAAAGAACAGTATGTCACTTAATACCATTTAACTAATTTGACTTGGATTAGTTATTCATGTTTTTCTTTTAGTTTTCCTTTATGATGGGAAACTGCTCATTTTAATAGTATTTGAAAGGCCCAGCCCAATTCCTTGCACACATTAGATGCTTTAAAAATGTTTACTGAATACAGTGGGTTTACATCTTCAGTAAGAAAACAGGCCACATGTAGTGACTCACTCCTCTCCTGTAAACCCAGCTGCTTGGGAGGTGAATACCAGGAGGATTATGGTTTAAGGCTAACCCAGGCAAAAGTTAATGGATCCCATCTCAATCAGTAAGTTGGGCATGGTGGTATGTGTCTGTGCTCCCAGCTACTCGGGGGAAAAAAAGCAGGTTTCTTAGCACAAGCTGAGCACCTGTCTATCAAGCACAGGCCCTGAATTCAAACTCAGTAATCTGCCCCCCAAAAAATAATCAGAGACAAGCAAGCCTATTTTATTTGTGTTTCAAATCCTATAAGACTAAATGTTAGAAACGGCTAGTTGAACACTTTAAACTTGAAAAGGTTATCATTCCTATGCAACTCTTTTTTATTGTGCTGAGGATACATTGTGACTTTTACAAAGTTCTTACAATATATCAAATGTATCATAGTTGAATTCACACCCTTCATCATTCCCCTTAACTCTTAAGGAATATAACAGAATGAATGTATTATAAATTCTATCAGAAGTCATTTTATGTAGGATCAAGAATTTCAGCAGTATTCTGACGAACAGATAAAAAGTCATCAAAAGTCCAATTTGAGGAAACTGGTCATGAGAAGAATGAGAGTGCAAGGGACTAGCTAGCTTATTCCCCTTTATAAACCATCCTTGTGGCTGTGTCAGCCAAGTTGTCCCACTCATCCAGGCTCATCAGTCTTCACCTGCTCAAACCAAACCCTTAGCTATGGACCCTTCTGGCCAGACCAGAATACAGGCCCCATGTGTGCACTGATCCTTTCTGAGGAGAGTGATGCCCAGCTGAAACTTCTGTTGTAGGTGTTTCTTTGTAGACATAGGCCACTTTGTTCCATACACACAGGCATCACTCAACTCTTGTTTAAAGTCACAAACTAGTCCTAAAACCTTGATCAAGGCAGGTATAGGTGAATCAGGTAAGAAAGCTATTCCCTGTTAGTCTTTCTGATGACAAGAGGAGTGTTTCATTGTGGTGGGAGTATTTGAGTTATCTTCTGTTCATGGCAAATAGAGAGGTTTCCTATTTATGATAGTACTGTAAATTATTCTTTCAAATTTTTCTTATGTTTAAAACATGAATCAATACAAAGAAAACTATTAAATATTAACACATGTAACATAAGGATATGGTAAAATTATGAAGGTAGAGCTCATAATAAATTTGGGGGAATTTACCCTAAGGGGTATGTCTCCCACCTCAGACCCTCTCCTTTCTTCTTCTTTTCCTCCTCCTTCTCTTCCTCCTCCCCCTCCTCCTTCTCCCCCTCTTTCTCCCTCCTTCTCCCTTTCTTCCTCCTTCTTCCTCCTCCTCCTCCTCCCCCACCCTCCTCCCTCTATCATCTACTTTCTGTAGAAGAAAAAAAAGGAGATAGGAAAACATTTGCATTACCTTTACAAATAGAACATAGGAAGAACAAACCAAAAACAACTGAGTTCATTACTAACAGGAGAAACTGAGGTTAAAAGGTGACAATAAGGGAAGGAGTAACACCTCTCCACTTAACCTCTTTGTATCATGTTTACTTTTGTAAGCATGTTAATGTCCTACATATTTAAAAAAATAAGTAAGGATGAGAGAGAAGAACCTAAGACTAAAAGCAATTTTTAAAAAATGAAACCAGATACTGAGGGGCGAAGAGGATGGAAGTATGCCATATATGTATAAAGACAGAATAATGAAACCCACAAAACACTATTTGAAAAGGGGGGAAAGGTGAAGGGAGGATGGAAATAAAATGGAGATGGTAAACTTTTTCAAGGTAACACATGTATGGAATTACCACAATGAAATCCCCTTGTATTATTAATGTACGATAATTCAAAGATAAAATAATTTTTAAATTTAAAAAATGAACGCTATTACATTTAGATAAATGCTGTAACTCCACTGAAGGGGGTAGGAGACTAATCCAAGTGATTAACAAATACATTTTATTTGATGACACACACATAGTCTTTACTTGGGAGGGGGAATTGCGAGCAAATCTTGAACTCATTTTTTAGTAGCATTGTTTTGAGGTTTGGGGGTTTGTTAGTGATGTGTATAAACAATTATGAAACCATTTTATATGTGTTGTAGCATTGAGCAAATGAGGTGATGATGTTGAAAGCTAGATTTCTCTGACCTTCCTGAAGAAGGTGAAAAAGAACTCTGAGAATGGATTAGAATTGGAGGTATTGGTGTGGACTCAGGATTTTTAAAATACATATGTGTGTATATACATGTATATTTCCATGCATATTATTCCTAGCTCTGTCTGCTAAGAGGGCTTTTCTTCCCACAAACTGTCCCCATAATAGCAGTGAATAAAGACATTCCAGTAGCAATAAACATACCTGGCACTCAAATCTTGATCTCCAGCAACATCCCTGTTAAAACAATCTTGTTCTCAGAGAAATGGCTGACAGCAGAGCTGGGGTAGGGTAGATGTAAGATGAGCTTGCAACTCCTAATTATGCCAGAATACTAGAAAGTGCTCAAAAACATTATGGGGGCATGTCACAGGAACATAGGCTCCAGCTAAAAGGGACTCCCACTTGCCAGATCTGGCCACTTTAAGAAGCAAAATAGCAGGCATAGTAATGAGTGTGAACCACTGAAAAAATGGAAATCCATGAGTCCATACCAATAATATATCAATAAATATATTCATGGAGGAGAAGGAAAAATACTTCCTTACAGTAGAAGGAGTGACAACTGATAAATGTAGAGGAAAGGATAGTGTTAGACTACTATAAGTTTACAGCCGACACAGTAAGCAGTGGATCAGGCAGTAATCCTCATTGAATGCTAAATGTAAGGGGAAACTGTAATCAGAAACAGTGTGTTTGCATGGTATTAGATAGTCTCCTCAATGGTGTATGAGGTACACAGGAAAACATCATAACTAAACAGTAGAGAAATCAGGCAACACCTTGCCTAAGTGAGGGACAGATGAATATTGTAGCCTGCAGATGTGACATACTGAGGAGGGCATGACATCTCTTATGTATACTATTCTGGTCAGTAATGCATATCTTGAATCTTAGGAGAAAGCATCAGACAAAACCAAATTGAGGGAGAAAGTGGAGTCAAGGGTACTATATACCTTAAAAAATGTCAATTATACAAAAAAGAAAGACTGTGAAAATATATGTGATTAAAGGAAGCTAGAGCTAGGATAACTAAATGTAATACCTGATCCTAAACTGCATCATGTAATGGAACAACAACAAAAAGATTATAAAGGACATTGGATTGATCTACAAAATTAGAATATGGAAAATATCAGTATTAACTAAGGTTGAAAATTACACTGTGCACTGGACTATATCCACCTTTATTTGTTCGTTGTTGAATATTGAGCTCCTAGAATGGTGCGTGGCATGTGGAAAGATTTGATTAGTATTTATCAAATATAAGTGAGTGGTTACTTTATGAACCTTGTGTTCAGGATCAGTGCAGTGCTAGTTTCTTTTCAAACCTGCCTCTCAGGGCTCACTGCTGGGGCATACCTTCCTCTGTCTTCTAGTGTTCACTCATTTATTTTCTCAGTTGTATTATAGTCTGTAGCCATTCTTTTTCCCTTATTACATTTTTATTTCTATTTTTCAGATCTGTTATTTGGTAGTAAAAGATGTTGAGATTTCTGGTATCCTGCTTTGTCTTGTCTGTGTGATTAATCACTGGTGTGGGGATTTGAATATTTTACAGCTTTTGGATCTCTTCATTCAGTGGGACTGGTCAACCTACCTTGCTGACTACGGGCAGCCCAACTGCAAGTACCTCCGGGTAAACCCAGTAACAGCTCTGACCCTGCTTGAGAAGTGAGTACCCAGCCCAATGGTCTGTACTGGGAGGTGGGGAAGTGGGTGGGGAGAGGGTAGTATAGAAGGTAATTTTCCTATTGACAGTATCTTGAAAGACATGGCTGTTCTTGAAGCTACCATAGGTTTTATTAGCCATCTAAGTTATTGCACTTGGCAGGCCAGTCTTCCTCTTGTAGCCTTTTAATTCTTGATCCCCAACAAGCTAGACCAAGTACAGGTCAAAATTGGACTCTGGTATTTTGTTATAGGCTAATGAGGTAAAGTGTCTTTAACTAGAGAAAACAAGAGAAGAAAGGGAGATGATTTAGTTTGAGGTTCAGGCCAGCCTGGTGAGGTTGGCCCCAGTTATCTAGATTATGGTGGTGGAAAGAGCAGGTTGCTTCATTGGATCCAACAGAGAATTCCTGAGAATTATTGAAACCTATAACTGCCTCTAACTCCTGCCCCTCTTGCCAGATTGAACCTATTATTCTGACTGTCCCTAAAATGCTGTGCTGGAGAAGATGCCTAATTCTTGTTATAGATAATAACTAGCCACCAAAGGTTGCTCTTCCACAGAGCTATTGCCTGTGGAATTGGGTTATCTGGCTCTAGAACACCTCAAGGCAAACCAATATGCCACCCAGAAGATGAGATCTGCTGTGCATTGCAGCCTGACTCTGGCTTTTGCTAACCCAGTTGAAAGTTGGTAGAACAGAGACCAAGACTCGTGTAAAATGACAACTTTCTCTTACAATTGGAATGACTAGTCAAAAGAGTGCCTTGCATCTAGGCAATGTAGAAAGTCCACATGTAAGGCCAATCAAGCATGTCTTAGCCTCGAAGATAAGACCCAGAGTAGAGCCTTAAGTAGGAGAAGTCAAAGTATATCTTTCTTACTATGTACTAGGATACAGGGAGAGTGCGTAGAGATGGAGAATAGCCAAGAACAGTGTATTGGGATATCTGTTTGGAGCCAAGAGATAGACATCATTTCAAGGACTGTTGCTTCCATTTTAACTTTTTTTCCCATGGTTCTCTCCCAATAACTTTCCTCCCTAGGATATCTAGAGAGTAAGTATATTATTCACTTGGGCCTTTTCCATCACTTTGAGGCAAGTCCTTCTGGTTTCCTCATTGACACTAATGACTACACTAAAATCCCTACCCTGTGAGTTGTCTCCACCCTGACAAACTAATCTACTAAACCAGTCTGGTGCCAACTGGCTGGATGCCTCTTCTACCCTTGATCCTTAGAGTGACCCTTGGCTCACCAATTCCTTTGGGGCTGGGAGTGGTGGTAGCAGGGATTTTTCCCCATCAGTACTAAGTAAAGGATTGTTCCCACTCAGCTTCCTGGCACACTTGATGCTCTTGTTGGTGCAGAGCCTGTAATTCAACCCTGACAGAAGAAAGCTTTTCAGCATTCTCCTCACCTCCTGTTGGTGAGCCCTGTGGCTTTAGGATCTGTAGTATACATCTCCAAGGAAGAATTATCATTAGAAGCAAGACCTAATCCCAGAATTCTTGTTACCCAGGAAAGATTTTGACCTTTGAGTTAGTACTTCAGTGGTCCAAATGGGCTCTGAGATTCCGCCAGTCAGTTACTTCTCTCAGAGAGTTTCTAGACCCAGAAAGTTCTGGCTTGCTTACTTCCTGTGTATCAACACTAGGCTAAAATAATCAGCCTCTGTCCACCATTCTGGAGGCCTAGCCTATAACAAAACTGTGTTTAGCCCTAGTCATCAATGGAGTTTAACAGCTTCCTTCACAACACAGTAAGGCAAAGGCCACCTGCATCACTAAAATTCACATCTTCTAGCCTCATAGGGATCACTCCCTTTACCTGACCCATTCCTGCTTCCTCATACCAGTTATACCACCCAAACTTGATAGTCTCTCCTTTTCAAGGGGGTCTCTCATCTTAGCAAAATGAGACCCAAATACCTGCTGAAGACATTCAGCAAAAAGAAGAGACCCTGTGTCAATGAGAGGTCACCATAGCTACAGTAGAACAGGTTCTTGGGCTTACACAAAAGGATAGGAGGTGAGAGGGTTAATATTTGGTTTTGGAACATTCCTGGGTAAGAACCAGCATGCTACCATCAGCCCTCAGGGCACTTGAGTTTATTTTGAATCCAACTCCAGGCCTTAATGGCCAAGAACTGCTAGCTTCTGGGACTCAGAGACTACTCCCTCTTCACTGTCTCCTAGTACAAGACTCCCTGTGGGAGCTTTTCAGCCAACTCTGGCTGCCTGTTCCTGGACTGCTTCAAGGAGTAATGCAATTAATGATAACAAAGGACATTAAACTAAATGTCCTATGAATATGTAAAGTGTTTGTCTTCATTTCCTCTTTTGTGTATATGTATGTATGTATGTATGTATGTATGTATGTGTGTGTGTGTGTGTGTGTGTGTGTGTGTGTGTGCGCGCATGAGTGTGCGTGTTATTGTTTAGGTTTGTAGCATACCCAGCAAAGAAAAGGGAATCCTTCTCTGTGATAACCTAAAATCAGGCCAGTTCTACAAACATAATTGTGGAAGTATTGTATAGGAAACAAAATATGGTGATCCTCAGAGCCTTGAGAACTCTTGTGCCTTCTTTTCAACCAAGCCCAGTCACCTTTCCTTCTTCCCTGCCCAGCACAGGCCTCTGCATGTGGGTGGTGGCTCTGAGTATGCTTGATGAGTAACTCCAGCCTAAAGGAATTACTTTGAGTTTAGACCAGGGGGAAAAGTCTCAGTTTTGGCTATAGTTGTCAGCCAGAGCTATACAACTGTGGTTCTCATCGGAACCTCATTGTCACATATAATACCCTTATTTTATATTGATAACATGTACACATCCTACATGCCAGATATAAATGCCCTTGTGGGATCTCTGCTCTTTTGATTAGCTGGACTCTAATCTGCCCGTCTGCGAAGGACTGCTCACAGGGAGAAAGAAGGCCCAGGATTTGCCAAAGATCCCCTGAGGCATATACCCAGGAGTAATTTATACCCCAGTGCCAGGTTCCTTCCCTTCCTTCTTCTAGCCTGCCTCTGTATAGGTCAGAGAGCAGTTTCTAGGAGATTGTGGTAATAATTGACCTATCCTAGCCCAGGGAGAAATTGGTCTGCACAATCTTCTTAATTCTTAACTCTAAAGTTAGTCATGGCTGGGGGTCTTGTGTGCAGAGGCCAAGACCAGAGTTAACTACCACCAATACATGCCAGGGGGTGTGGGCCCTCTATAGGGAGCAGCAGGTTCCTAGCTTCTGTCACAATATCTTTGTCAGATTTGGAGGCTCTTGTTGATCTTAGTCTAGTCTTGACTTTCTTTATCTACACTCCCAGTTAGGGCTTTCCATCTGACAGCAGCGTTGGCCAGAACTGCCTATCATTTGTGCTCTAGGAATTTGTCATCTGTGGAGTTTTGGCATGACCCAGAGGTCAAAGGTCTGAGAATACAGGCAGTCATTGAAAACTCAAGGATTTCTCTTGCTTAAAGCCCTGGTTTATCAAGTGGGAGGATATCCTCACCTTTGGCATCTTCTTTGGATGTGCACTGTCTTACTGCCTACGAGTTCTTACCATGTGACAAAGAAGACCTTAGAGTGACCAGCTAGACTGAGGTTTATAAATACACAGTGGCTTTCAGTTATTCATGTTTTCTTGGAATTGCTAGTTTTAAGAACATTTTTTCTGCTTCACCTTCTAAATACCATCTCTAAGGTCCCAACAGGCTCATGAAATGGTAAGTGAACCCTAGATATTCTGTAACAGTCTGCTGGCCTGCAGAGCTGTAGCAAATCTCAGACACCTATAACAGGTGCATACCTGGGGTGAAAAAGAATGAATTGGGTGGGGGAGGTATGAGGAATAAGGAAGTTGACTCCTCCAAAGCTGGTTCTTGACTTTTGTCCAAAGGTAACTGAAGTTATGTGGGCTGTGGGTGCCAGATTAGGAGGTAAGTATAGGCCTGAAATGGAAATATTCTGGACTCTTCCATTCTGGGTGGTGGGTTAAGATGCATCATGCCATCCTACCTCCTGCAAGTTCTTCTAATATCTCCTCACTTTGCCCTCTTCCCTTCTCTGTTTAGGATGAAGGATACTAGCCGCAAGAATAACATGTTTGCACAGTTTCGGAAAAACGAGCGAGACAAGCAGAAATTGATTGACACTGTGGCCAAGCAGCTCCGAGGACTCATCAGCAGCCACCACTCGTGAAGGCTGGCCTTGGACCCACAGAGGCTACTTGCTGCAGTCCTGCAGTTTAGGATCCAGCACAGGCTGGTCCTGCTTTTGTGCATTCTTCCTCAAAGAGAGCATATGTATTTTTTTATTAACCCCTGTACAGTATTCACATAACCTGTCCCTACAGTAAAAAGAGGCACAAGAAGAAGCAAGTACATGAGATGTTGCTAGTTAGTAACTCGGGGGAAATTACTACTACACTATCCGTATTATCCTAGGAAGGTGGCATCATCAATCCCAGTGTGGTAAACCACCTCTCATCTATTCATGGCTCTAGAGTTTAGGTCTGGGGCCCAAGAACTACACAAAGTGGATGCTTGGCCCTGGGAGGAAAAGTGAGTAAGCAAAAGGATAATGAAGTATATCCTGTTTGTTCTTGGATGCCCCATTCACCACACAGATGAGGCTGATCTTTCTTGACACAAGAAAAGGGCCTGGCAAACGTTACTACTTAACACACTAAAGACAGCACACAGTTGTACATCTGCTATCTCCTGCATCTGAATAAGTATATGTAGCAAGATGACAGCTTCACTCCAGTCCCCTCTGGATGGCAGTTGCATTTGCCCAGATCTGAACCAGGGCTTTTACTGCTTATTTTTCTGGGGCAGCATAGAACTGAGTAGGCAGTGGTAATTACCGGACCCCATGATGACCTGCAGGTTTCTTCCATACTGGAAGTATTGAGTCTCAGCCTAAGAAGTTTTTCTGAATCTTGAAAGCCATTTTGAATCAGCACCTTGCCTCTTTTCCATTCATCTCATTTTCTTCTTTGATGGTCAGAGCACTTGATTCAGGAATCTCAGACTTGTCTCCTCCAACAACATCACTGAGATTGGTTGGATCTCATACATCTGAAAATGATCCTCTACTCTTAGATAAGACCTGAAGCTTGCTTGGGATTATCCATATTTTAAAAACAGCTTCCTGGCCACCATCCTTAAAGGAAATGTCACTGGCTATGCACTGTGGAGGCACCTATGGCTGGAAAAGATGCCTCTAAGGATGGAGCCATCATCACCATGAAGTTAAGACAGGACCAACTATGGCTAGTGGTTTGTTGCCACTGGCCCAACCATTGTTTACTGAGTTATTTCCTAGATATGAAGCTCTTCTTGATCAGCCCCAAGGCTTCCATCCTCTTCTGAGATCACCAAAGCCATCTTTCAGCCTCATTTGAGAATGATTGCCTATAATTCTATCCCCCAAACTCTGGAGTCTTTGCCAGCTTAGCTTAGAGGCTATGCCCAGTATTCCATAAGGACCCCTAAAATTTAATTGAAGGACTTTGCTGTGAGGTCAGACTGAGGAACCTATACTGTAAGACGCTTCTGAAAGATGCTATTGTTGCTACTGTTAAGATTATTTGCATCATCAAGCAGTGACAAATAAGCCACACAGGCATTTCCAGCTAGGACGCATGGGAGGAAAGATTCATCAAACAGTTTTTTCACTACCTTTCTCAGCTACTGGGTTGTTTCTGGGGAGAGCACACTTCCCTTTTTTGTTTCCCATCCCTGCCCTCATCGTATCCTACCACATCTTGGAAACCATGAGGAAGAGAATATGCACACAGTTGTACAGCCCTCCTCAAAGCTGAAAAGACCAGGCTGCATGTGAGTTCTGCAGAAGCCTGACAAGGCTCATCTTGAGGGATAGCCAATTTTAGAATGAGGGTCAGGGAACAGCAGTGGCACCCAAAACTTGATAAACCAAGGGAAGACAGGGGCCTATTGGAATAAGACCCAAGATAGCATCTCTAAGCCATGGGTTTAGTTGGAAAGGGTGAGAAATGATTACACTATCTGAAATCTTATTTCCTGAAAAGCAACCAAAATACCCTTTCACTAATAACAGTTTAAAGTAAGATCTATTCAACTTTCAGTGCCGGGACTTGGAATGCAATGGAAAGATCTCAAGCATGTTCACAACATTGTCTTTTTAGAGTCATTATTGCTGATCTGCTATTCAGTCTCTACTCTGGAAAAAGTATGCCATAGAGGAAAAGGTGAACAGGGTAGAGGAATAGGGGCTACTCTACCTTCGACATGGAAGACCTGCTAAAGATAAATCTAACTCAAGATTCATAAGGATGAACCCTTGGTGTATCTGCTCTTCCCTCTTAGTCTGCCTGTAATCTTCCCTAAGAAAACAAAAAACCAACATGCTGCTTCTGAGTTGTATGTAGAGACATGCTTTTGGAGGACCAGGGAAGATAAAAACAGGGACCAGCAATGTTGAAGTTTTTTTAATTGATAAAGTATGAATTTTTTAGTTTTGTCTATAACTGAATTAACCCTTGAGAAGATTTGTGAAAAGCATGTGTGTCCACACACCCCTCTTGATCCTCAGATCTTGCCTCAAATGTCTACAGACCTATAAGTGCCCTGGAGGGTCTATAGCAGGGTGAGAACATGGGTGGCTGTCACCATGAACCTATGGCCAAGTTCCTGGGAAAACCAGGTCCATGTTCCTGAGGAATCTAGTTTAGGACCCTACTAGGTTTCAGCAGTAATAGAGACAGCTTGCTTAGTTTTAACATTCATAGGAAGATCTCTTTGAGGAGACTATATGAAGCTATTGGGGTGGGGACAACGGGACCTGGACATTGGGAACTAGTAGAGTCCCTGTTGGCAAAAGAATGTACAACCTCCAGGGAGTGCTCCCCAGTGATTATATTGCATACCAGGCCTCACAGTCTCCCAGTCCTCAAAGTCATCCTAGATTCTCTGCATATTTACTCAGCAAGTCCCAGACCCAGGGGCACATGACTTTCCTCTTCAGTCCTCTAAGCACCCTCTGTGACAGCTTCAGAAATCCCCTTCCCTGAGCCTCCCTTCTCCCAGGACTCCTTTTTGTCTATTTCCTTTGCCTCTATTTCTCTCTTGCTCTCTTTTCTTTCCTTTCTCCCACTTTTCCTTCCTCCCTCCTTTCCTTCCTTCCGGGTTCCCTCCCTCCCTTCCTTCCTGCTTTCCTTTCCTTCTTCTTACACTCCTTTCCTTCTTTGCTTTCTTTGCCTTCATTTGCAATTATTTTTCACTAATGTGTTGGAAATGGCCTTTTAATTTTGCACACATAGTTATGAATTTATGGGGAAATTTTAGTGGAGTCCATTTTAACTCTAAAGGGAACTTTTTTCTCTAAAACTCACTAGTAAAGCTGCTGATGCAGATGGGCTGCATGGTTAGAGAAAGCTCCTCTGTGGAAAGAGCATGTTTATTTCTCTTGTACATCTTCCTTTTTAACTGCTATTAAATAACAGAGCCTACATACCTGTTTCAAAAGTCACAGTGTTGTCTCATGGGTGTTTTATTCTTCCATCCCTTTGCACAGTATAGCTGTTGTTGGTGACAGACATTGGGTGGCAGACATTGTATTCCCAGTCAGCTGGACTGAGTACTACAGCAGGCAAGAGCTTGGTGTGGAAGAGAACACCTGCTACCACACAAGACAAAGGGTCTTGGATATGCCCCTAGCCACTGGGTCAGGTTTTCCATTTGCATAGCTGACACTGGCATCATTATCACCACAAGAAATAACTTTGAAATGCCTGATTTATGCAGAATAACTGGACTGGGTAACATGGAGTGCAAAGCACTTGAACACCAGCCCTGCATAGAAAGGCTCCCAGTCAAAATGGAATGATGTAGGATTACCCAGAGCAAAGCCACCCTGGAGGAGGGGAGAGATGAGCCAGTTGGAAAGCTCAGTGGGAGAGCAACAGGAATCCCAGCCTGGTATAAGAAATGGTTTGACTCGGGAAGACAGCACGAGAAAGCAAGATGTTCATTAGCATGGCTTGAAGGAATCCACTTTGAACTTTGTTGAGTTGTAGGGGTATTTGAGGCACAAACCAAGTTAGAGTACAAAGTTGGCCCAAGCCTGGCATGTGCTGGGAGAATTTTGAAGAGCCTGCTAGGCAAATCTGGAACAATGGTGAGTAAGACAAGAAGTGTCAGTGTATTTACACCCAGCCTACTTGCCTCTCAGGCTTTTGTAAAAGCCATGGAACAGGCTGCAAAGAATGTCTTTGGTAACAAGCCCAACTACTGCAGTGGGCTTTGCTGCCAGAGAGAACTGAGCTTCCATCTCTGCAGTGCTGGATGACTTTAAACAGTTAATTAGCTAACTCCTAGATCCTGAATCCTCATCAGTTAAAGCAGAGTGACTATCCATAACTTACAGGGAGGTTGTTTAAATGTAAACAAGTTGTGGAAGGTCAAGATGCGTAGCCAGACCTGAGCCGGGGCGCATGTGCTAATAATTGAAGGCCTCCCCCTTCCCTCCCGTTCCACAGCATACCATATGGCTGCGCACTGGGCAAATACGTCCAGAGCTGCTTTGTTTCCTGGCTTGCTCTCCTCAAGCCCAGTGTAGGATTGTTGGGACAACGTCCCTCAAGCATCTGTGCAAGAAACGGACAAACCTTTCCAGTCAGACTGGCAGCCATCTCACCCAGTCCTCCGAGTGGGACCAGCACCACCTGCAGTCTCCTCTGCTCTCACTTTGGTGCCAACCCTTCTAGCTCCTTCTAGAACTTAGGCGTTCTTAATCAGGAATACAGAAACTCTTGAAATATGGGTGTGCACGTTGCACACATGAGCATACAGGCATTCATCCACCCATTTTTTTTTTCTAAAAAGAAAGTTTATGGCTTTCATCAAAGCCTAAGAAAGATTTATGACTCTAAAACTGTAAATAATAACCAAATCTCTTTGGAAATGTAGACCTCCCTGGGAGGGAAAGCCATTCGCTCTGAATAGTCACCTCTCCTGCCTTCTATAGCTCTGGCAGATTTCCAAAGCCTGCTGTTCTGCCACCCACCTTTTCCAGGAGACCCCATGGGAAGCCCAGGCCATACCTAAAGACCCATACAGCCACTGCTCCTTACTTTCTCTGGCCACACCAGGTTGTGGTACTGGGATGGCAAGAGGACTCTGCACTCCTGAGACACAGAGGCTTCCATCTGCTTGGGGAGATGACAAGTCAGAGTCCAGTATGGAGTTTGGGGCTGTCATAGTCCCACTGAGTCTGACTCACCCCAGACCATTTCCCTCTCTCCCAGTACTGACTGCTACAACTTCTGGCTCAAGACCTTATCCAGAAAGAGACCAGCAGCCCTTGCGAGATAGTCTGTGGGGAACAACAAGCACAGCCAAGAATGTGAAGCAGTCACCAGCTTGGTGGCCCTTTTCTCCCAACTGGGCTGCTCATCTGCTCACCAAGCAGTTCAGGGTGGGGAATAGGCCTGGGAGATAAGAGGAGGCAGGGAAAGAAAGTACCAAACCCTTTCCCCAGAGGCCTCATTTTGGGTTTAATGGACAGCATTTGTGGGGAATGAGAGAACCTTCAAGCCCAAGGGACCAGAAGACAAAGGCTCTTGAGGAAGTGCAAGGAGGAGGAGGAGAGGAGTGAGGGGGCCCAGGTATTGTGTGGGAGAGCTCCCCCTCTATCTGTTTCAATCACTGCTGAGGTTAGGGTTACCCTGCATCTGGGGCCCAGGCTGCTTTGTGGGGTCTGTGAAGTTACCTGTTTGTAATGTTAATGGAGGGGCCTTTCACAGGGACACCCCTTCTTTTGCCAGTCCACCAGCTTCCAGATATGAGTGAAGGTCCTGTTTCCTCAGGGTGGGGGTGGGCTATGGGCCCAGAATTGGACGCAAGACAACAACCCCCTCCCAGTCCAAACCCACTGCAAAGTGTACCTTCCAAGCCCAAGCCATGACCTTCCTCTCTCCAAAGCTCCAGAAAAGGAATAGAATCAACATTGAGATGCTTTTCTGGCCTTAAACAATCCTCCCATTCTCTAGGCTCAATGATGGGTCTATTCCCCCCTGTAAATGGGTCTCACAATCTTTAACTTTTACCTTTGCTTCTAAGGGTAATTAATTGGATCTCCCTCTTGTTCTCCCACACACTCCCCTCTCTGTTACAAGGCTCAGGTTAAGCCCAGTGGATGGCTTTCTTTCTTTCTTTCTTTCTATTCCATGGGGTACTTATTTGTAAAGCTGCTGGAGTAAGGCCCTGCCCTCCCCAGTGAGCGTCTTCCCTAGAGAAGCCTGCTGGGAATCACTTCCGTGGACACTGGAAAGGGGTCCATAACTACACCAGCTAAAGGCTTTTCAGGTCGCCAGCTCTGAGCGACCAGTTCACTTTTTTCTGTTGATGTGTTTCCAGGATTTTAGTGAAGGAGATTTCAGGTAAGAGTCTCAGGAGAAAAGTAGAGCTTGTGATCAGGAAACCACAAGAAAAAGAGAAACAAAGACATGCAACAAAATAAGACCAAAAGATCAGAGCCTTCTTTTGTTTCTTTTTTTGACCAAGGTGAGGAAAAACACTAAGGCCTCAGGTACAGGCCAGCAGAAGGGCAACAACCTAAGAGGGTGAGGCTAGGGCCATCCAGGGGCAGTTGAACACCAGGCTGGCCGGAGGTCATGTAGGCAGGAAGTTGAGCTTCAGACACCGGGAGTTTCTGGTTATCTGTGGATTTGTCTGATGTTTCTGCTAGATAATGAGTTCTTCGAAGTCAAGAACAACACGGTCCTGTCTGAATCCCTGAAGCAAATAGCATATGGACATTTGTGACTGAATGAAGCACAATTATGGTAGACATAGTTTCGTACTGAGGTAGGGGGACTCTGAGAGCTGAACTCCCTGATGGGAGCAATATTCTATCACTAGCATTGTTTAGGATTGCCAACACTCAGCAGATAATAAAAAGTAAACCATCTTTTAGTGAGTTTTATTTGTGGTTTTAGAATTCATACGCATTCTACTTGTTATGTATCCAAGTTGGGCACAGGTTGGAAATGAGTTAGGAGAGAAAGGAAAGAAGTACTTTAATTCCTGACCAGGAGGATGTGGTCCTGCTGGTGGTGACTGTGTGTGTGTGTGTGTGAGTGTGTGAGTGTGAGAGTGTGTGAGTGTGAGAGTGTACGTGTGTGAGTGTGTGTGTGAGAGTGTGTGAGTGTGTGTGTGTGAGAGTGTGTGAGTGTGTGTGTGCGTGAGTGTGTGTGTATGTGGTGTGAGTGTGTGTGGTGTGTGTGTGAGAGTGAGTGTGTGTGTGCGTGTGTGTGAGAGAGTGAGTGTGTGTGAGTGTGTGTGTGTGTGTGTGTGTGTGTGTGTGTGTGGTGTATGGGGGCAGCTGACAGAATTGGGGCTTCTTCCCCTGAACCCTAATCCCATTTCCCACATATAATCACTGTTAATAGTATGCTAACATAATAGATCAGATTATTTTAATATGCACATAATACTGATTCACAAAAATTATAATCAGTCCATTAATTAGTGTTATTTTTTCACAAAATGTATTTTAAATATTATTTCATTGGCAACATACAAAATTTCTTCATCCTTTATTAAACTTATATCTTCATTTCATAGATGAACATAAGTTTATTTAACCAATTCTTTCTCTTTTGGGGGCAGTATTGGGGTTGAATTTAGAACCTTGCACTTTCTGGGCAGGTTCTCTACCACTTGAGTCACTCCATCAGCTCTTTTTGCATTGGAGTTTTAAGCTTAGGGTCTTGAGTTTGTGCTCAGGCCATCCTGAACTACAGTTCTCCTATCTGCGCCTCCACGTGTAGCTGGGAAGACAGGCATATGCCACTACGTCCAACCATTAGTTGAGATTTGAGCTGGGACTGGCTTCAGATCTCAACCTCCCAATCTCTGCCTCCTGAGTAGCTAGGATTAACAGGCTTGAGCCATGGCACCTGGCTTATTTAACCAATTCTGAAATGAGTATTAGAGCATGTTCAATATTTCACTATTATAAACAATATTGTAAGATATTTGTATATATCTTTGTTTACTTTGTAAGATACTCCTTTAGCATAAAATTTGAGCAGAATTGATTGGTTAAAAGCTATAAATATAAATGTTAATAGTTTTTTTTGAAAATCATCAACCTAAATTCTTTTTTCTTTTTTTTATTCATTTA